TTAGGGCTGGAAAAGACCACTAAGGTCATTCTGTCCAACCATCAACCCATCCCCATCATGCCCACTAACCCATGTCGTGCAGTGCCATATCCACTCTTGAACACCTCTGGGATGGTGGCTCAACCACCTCCCTGGGCAGCCTGTTCCAATGTCCAACCACTCTTTCAGAGAAGAAATTTTTCCTATTACTCAACCTGAACCTTCTGTGGTGCAACTTGAGACCATTCCCTCTAGTTCTGTCGCTGTTAAAGGCGAGAAGAGGCTGACCCCCACCTCACCACAATCTCCTTTCAGGGAGTTGTAGGGAGTGTAAGGTCTCCCCTGAGCCTCCTCTTCTCCAGACTGAACAATCTCAGCTCCCTCAGCCACTCCCCGTAAGACTTGTGTTCCAGACCCTTTACAGCTTCACTGCCCATCTCTGGATAAGCTTCAGGACCTCGATGTCTTTCTTGTAGTGAGAGCCCCAAACTGGAACTGTTGTTTTTGCCTTGTGGTGTTCTTAATTTTTCACTGTTAAAGATAAAGGCAGTAGGATAAATGTTACCCCAGAGAAAAGCTGGCAGCACCTGGGTTTAGCAGTGGCAGCCTGGTGTTCCTGGTACTGGCTCCAAGTTTCACTGCCCCTTATACACCTAAAGCTGCTCTGATAGAGTGATAACACTTGCTATGAAGTTCATAGATGTTCTCGGGTTTTTTTCTGTCTTGTGCCAGGTTATTTTTAAGCTAAATTGGTTCCCTGGCTGCATTTGCTACCTGACTGTAGGAAAGGAAGCAGCAGCATTTTTTTGGGAGACTTCATTGTTGAAGTATGTGGAGAGCTGAGAAGTGTGAATGCAGGCTGCTGGGGTTGGTCTGCTGCTGCTCATGTGCTTACAGTGCTGATGTCACTGTGGCTCTGCAGACCACTCTGTGCTGTACGCAGCCCTTTTGCTGGGGCAGCCCAACCTCATTCCCAGATAGCAGTAAACTCCTGCAGCAAAAAGAATTTTCTGTTTCCTTCCTCTCTTCCTCCCCAGCCTCTATCTATTAGCCTGTTCATTCGCATGTTGCCAATGTGATTAGAGTTGTGAGTGTATTTTTGAGATGCATCTCTAAATTTATTTAAATTTTCTGTTCATAATTTTACAGGCTGCTAATAAACAGTAAGTATAGATCAAGCCAAGGAAAATGTGAGATGTTTTGGTTTCTTGTCTGTGGAAAGGAACTAATGGGCCTTTGGGTATGAGGATGGGGAATTTGCAAGTCCTGGGTATTGTTTTTTCCCCCTCTCTGCGTACGACTTACAAGGAGGTAATTAAGTCTTGGAATAGAAGAGTGCTTGATTTCTGCCTTCAGTCTTTTATCTCAGATTGCGTAAGCCAACTATGCTTCTGAAGCTGGTCCCATCTGTGATGATAGGGTGATAGCAATGGGAACAGGCAGGGACAGTAAAGAAAAAATATCCATGCAGTTGAGTCTGGCCAAAGGTCTGAAATGAGATGTGGATTCCCCTTGCAAAGACCTCCCCCCTCATTACACTAAATCAAAATGAAATGGAGATACTGATTTAATTCATACACTCTTGGTATGTAGAATGTCTAAATATGAGTGCATTAAAGCAGGTGAAATGATTCCAGCAGCTTTTCTGGGGAGAAATACGTTATTGCTGCGAGGCTTTGATAGAATGAGGGCAAACTTGTATAAAATGCCAATGCTTCCTGTTGGCTTTGTATTTGCATAATTCTCAGTGCTTTCACAAGGCTCCTTGCTTTCGAATGTTTGTCCAAACATTAAGTAATCTGCAGCAGCCCGGGGCTATCAGCGGCCATAGTTTCTGCCTAGGAGGGTGGGGAGGCTTTGGCTGAGGAGGACAAGATGAAGTTCTGCTGAAGGTGGAACTCTTCCAGGAAATTGGCACCCAGCTACAAATTCTCAGGGTAGCCTAATGGTGCTCAGCAAGACCTGCCCTGGCTCAGGCTTGTCGTACGGGAATAAACTCAGGTGCTGCCTCAATCTGGATTAAAAGATCAGATGATAATTCATGTTTCTGTGGCTGGAACATTTTAGGGGATGCCCCCTGTTTGTTTGTTTGTTTGTTTGTTTGTTCTTTTGTGGGATGGCTCATTATTTGTCACCATTCAGTTGCCCCTGTAGTCTGCAGGGGCAGGGGTTTTGCCTGTGCTCGGTCATTTCTCTGTATCCTCAGTGCCAATGGGATTTATTTCAGCCCATGCTGCAGCCGTGTCTGCATACAGCCAGGCTTTCCTGTTTGCTTGGCAGAGAGCCTGAAGGCAAAAAGGGTCCCCACGTCACTGAGCACTGTGGGACCGCTCAGCAAAAATGTCAGGACAGATTTCCCAGCCCCACAGAGAGCTGGGGGTGTCCTATCTGGTCCAAACCCACTGATCTCATGAAAACCCTCGCAGTTCCCAAATCAGGCATTGTGCTAGAAAGCGATAGAATACAAGAAATGAATCAATTCACATATCCTGGTAGTTGTATCTAAGCCACAGGGGATGTCCAGAAGGAAATGGTGTCACGCATTGGCAAGGCAGCAACCGCATTTACTGGCTTAATTGAGATTTACTCATTGAAAATCTGCAGCTGAAAGGCTGAACTCTGAACGTTGGACTTGAAAAGTTATTTTTTATCTAAACATACAGATCTGAAAGCTGGAAATATATCAGAGGTACAGGCAAATAATCTGAGTGCCTTTGAAAATAAATGGCTTAAACGAGTGCTGAGCAGTAATCTCCCAAGACATAGTAAAAAAGAAGATAGAAGTATTTGGCGGATAAGAAACAGGACTGTCTGCTGTGTTGGGGGTCTTCTGGATAGTGGAATGGAGACACTGGCAGTGGTAGGAACAACCCTGCTCTTACATGCATTAACTGGGAGGAAATTATACTGGGTTTATTGTAGCCTGCACAGGAGGAGCAGCAATAGATGGGAGTGGTGGTTGACAAAAAAAAGTCAGGCTCATTTAAAAGCTTTGATCATTTGGAGTCTGTGCTTAGAAGAGTGGGATAACATGGCACTGTCTGTCACTGCGTGATTTTGCCCTTGCTGGTAGTTTGAACTTGTGTAATTCCTGTTAATTCTACATGTACAGCACAATGCTCAAGTTTCCTTTACTGCAGAAACAGATTTCTACTGTCTTCATTACTGCGCCTGCAAAATAAGGTGTATTACACTTCTTTTCTCTACAGTAGTCTTTCAAAGCTCTGAGTTTCTGGAATTTCCCATTAAATGTCCAAAATGAGTTCCCATCACCGTGGATGGTTGTAATAGGTGAGGCATGTAGGTGAGGGAGAATAAGAAAAAGCCAATTAAGAGGTGTTATCAATGAGCAGAGGAACATGAGTACCGAATGCTACTGGGATCTTGAAGACTTCTTCCTTCCTAAGCAGCCAAGGTTATAATCTCACCAATTAATATATCAAGCTGAATCTTAAGGCTGGTTGGGCCACCTGCTCCTCTACTGCTGGAAAACATCCAGAGCTGAGTGTAGCTGGAAAGCTTTTTGCTCAAGCCTGAAGTTGTTCATAGCCAACTTATACTCATTTGGCCTTGTGAAATTATCAGCTTTAATTGCTGTTTCTGTGATAAGGAGAACAGTCTTGTTTCCTCAGAACCATGCAGCTTAAACTGACAGCTCTCATCTCCCTTGTAAGAAGGACTTGTTATTCCCTCCTGGCAGCTCTGATGGGTTCTGTTCATATTCATCCTTCTTGAACATAGGCTCCCAGATGGAGCTTAATATCTTACAGTGTTCTGTTGTTATTGGTACACCTTTACATCTTCTCTGAATCTACCAGAGATACTTCATTCTCCAACAGTTGTCAGTATTATGTAGACCTTGAAGATCTGCTGTGCTGACGCCTTGATTGTCTCTTCCCAGCATTTGGTGATGTGAGTCATAGGAATGTAGTATTGAGTCTTCTTCTTGCTAAAGCCTTATGCTTGCAGGAATGAGGGGGTTGATCCTAGTCTACCTGCAGAGTGACAACATTTCCAGTGTTTAGTTTAGGCCTTAAACTGATCTTCGTCCAATGCTGGAACTAAGCCCTGAGCTTAGTGTCTTTGTGAAGAAGTCTTTGTGAACTCTGTGTGGAGTTCTTAGAAGAAACAACAATTGAAAATGTTTCTTTTTTGTATTTGAGCAATTTTTATCAGGATTGTTTGGCAAGATGGGGTATAAAAAGTACATTTAATATGATAATATATCTATTTTTGGTTTTAATCTTCATATTGATGACTAACAAGACACAGTTGTTGTAAATCATGATGTTTGTGATTGTAATAGACTTTTTGCTACAGTTTTCTTCAAACTGGCAGGTGCTTCAGTTATTTGTTTAAAGAATTTGCATCTTTTTAACGGGGGTTTCAGGAGCTGAAGTGAAACTGAAGGTTCTAGGCAGTGCCATGGTTCACCTGATTTCCAAGGGCCCCCTCAGCACTGTGGGTTGATTGCAGCTCCAACTACTGATGTGATGAAGTCAGTAACAATGCCATGCTGTAGATAGTTGAGTTACTTTTTGCAGCAATGAAATAAGCGAAGAAATAGGGGTGCACTCTGCTGTAAGTAAGGGCTCTATCTCTGGGAGAAATCTACCCACTCATTTGTACTTTTGGTGGTTATAATTTGAGGCCCATCTCGTAGAATCATAGAATAGCTTGAGTTGGAAGAGACCCTTGAATGTTATCTATTTCTACTCATCTGCAATGAGCAGGGAAGCTAGCCATTAGGAATGAACTGTCAGTGCAGAACTGATGCTGGCAGAGCCTTTGCTTTCCATGCTTTGTTTCATTTGTGTGGAAGAAAAAAAAAGAAAAGAGAAAAGCCAGCAAAAACAAAAGCAGACTCTCTGCTGCTTGAAACAATAAATGAGCCACGATCTGATGTGGGTTTTATTTTCTTCCCCCCCCCCCTCGTTTCCTCATCCAACTTTTTTTTTATTTCTCAGTCTTGGCAGTGGGAGCAACTATTCTCAAGAGCTGGTGCTCTGCTTTGGTGAGTCACTGGAACCACATACACTCTGTTTACTAGAGTGCAGAATGTGCTCGTGCCTTGCTACTTCCCGGCATGAGTGACTTTGCCTTTATGAAGCTCTATGCATACGAGATGACGGTGGGAACTCGTCTCTGTAAGGCCAACACCTGAGCTACTGACGAAGGGAGTCTGCAGTGCAGTTGAGGTCAGTGTGATATGTAACCCCAGTGATGTAATGCACAAGGTTTTGACCTGCGGGAGGTTCAGCCAGGGTGGCTGAAGCACTTGTGGACACAGCTACTGCGTTGCTCTTCTGGAGTTTGTTCTGGGACACGTGGGAATGGGAAACATCATGTGAATCAGCTCAGATTTTTTCATGCATTGCAACTGCATCATATTAAAGTCACCTGAAATGGGTTACTAATAGTAGTCTGTACTCTTTTCTGGGAAGAGTAATGAAGTGAAGAATAGTGAGTAGCAAATACCTGAGTTATGTGACTTGAACTCATCTGTGCTAGGAGACCAGCACCCTCCTCTACTGCCAGACATGAAATGACACCCAGATGTGAGTGTCAGAATAGGTCTGATGGGACAAACCTACAGTAAGAAAGCTGTTTGTGAGATTATACACGAATATATCTACATAAAAACACATAGTTGGTTTAATCAGTGACCCTGTGGTTACATGGACCTGTAAGGGTTGTGGCAGGTGGTCTCCTGGCGATGCAACAGCCGTGGTAGATGTCATTGCTGTGTCTGCTCTGCTTCCTGTAGGCTGCGGTGGTCCCTATCAGAGGCAGAAGGGGAACTGTGTCAGCTCCTCAGCTGCTACAAGTCACAGCTGGTGAATTAGTTTAACCTGTTAATTTAATCTTGCTAGGCCAGCAGGTCATAGAATCATAGAATCACTCAGATTGGAAAAGACCTTAAAGATCATTGAGTCCAACCATAAGCTAACCATACTGGCCTAACTAGCAACCTTCTGCTAAATCATGTTCCTGAGCACCACATCCGAATGGTTTTTAAACACATCCAGGGATGGTGACTCAACCACCTCCCTGGGGAGCCTATTCCAGTGCTTAACAACTCTTTCTGTGAAGAAGCTTTTCCTGATATCCAACCTAAGCTTGTGGATGCTGATGCCCAATGGTGGGCAGTGACAGGATTGTGCTTCCTTCTGCTAGGTGTGCGGCTCTTCTCTCCAAAAGTCTGAGGCTGGAGACCAGATGCTGAGCAAGGATAGTGGTTGGGTTTGATCTTGTCTGGTGATCACTGTGTTACTATGTTTAAAGCCCATCAATTTCACTGGAAGGCTCATCACATGGTCTCTGCAGGGTTCAAATTCTTCAGAGTTATTCCTGGTTCCTGTAGATATACAGAACTGTGATGCGAATGTATTAATGCCTCAGGGCATCCTAATGAATAGGACTTCACTGGTGGAACCGAACCATGTATAATGATGTACAATAAACTCCTCCAGGTTGCCCGTGTCCATGGGGATGCTTGAGGATTTGGATTTAGAAGGCAATTTCACAGTTTTCCAGAGGTCTGATTCTGTGGGAAGCGTAATGAGGAAGAGGGTGGCAGGAAGTGATGATGTGAAGGCAGTTGAGGATCACAAGATCTTTAATCCCTCAGTGCCCCACAAGTGGGGCTCTTTATGCCTCCCTGTTCCGCTGCATTATGGTTAGAAGAGAACAGGCTCCTGCTGTCCTGGTTCCATGTGCTGCCTCCAATGGCTTTACGCCACTGTGAACACAAATGAAGAGAAAGGGAGATAGGATACTGTCATATTGGCCTGGCTGCATTCATGGAGATCTCTACTAGTGTGACTGTTTTGATAAAAAGAGGACTAGAAATTTCCCTCTTTTCTGTGGTGCTGACTGATTACAGTGCTGATAGGAAATCACATATACAGTGGCTGTACATGTTCCCAAACCTGGTGGAGACCTCTACAAATAAAATAAAAGTGTTCTCAGAATTGCTGCAACAAACCATCCATCTTGAGTACCAAAAGGGCTGTTGTTGAAGCTCTGAGAGGTGAATGCAGTTTCCTGTTGGTGAGAGTAAGTTCTTACCACCTAAATTAGGCTTTGTCAACTCAAGGCTAAAACTTTAGCATAGCTGTGGAAAGAGCAGGCTGGCTTTGGCATATCTGGATACTGGCATGATGTGTTTCCTGTGGTAGGTGTTGGGAAAACCTGCATCTGCTGTAAAACAAACAGTTCTTTCCCTTGGAAGTGTACTTGCTGAGATATGGTTGATGGACAAGTCTCCCTTGATAAATGTGACTTCACAGATCATATTTTCAGCCTCATGGAAAAAATGGAAAAGGTATCAAATGTGTCAAACTATTTAAAGGACATGTCTGAAGGTTTGAAGGTAATCATTCTAAAAATAAACATTAAAAATGATTCATGAGCTTAGGCCAGGTTATTTCAAGATCAAAATCAAGGCTACGGCACTCTTACTCTCAGTGTAGGTTTCCAGGTCATTTTCATTGACTTTGTTCATCTGTGCTGCTTTTGAGGTAGGAAAAAAATGCAAATATCTACGAGGATCTTTAAACTCTCTTCTTGAAAGCATGTCCCTGAGGAGTCCTGATTCTTCTTGCAGTCTTATGATTGCAGGCCTGTTCTGTGTTGTTTTCCTTTGGTATCTCAATTTACTCATTAGGGAAAAAAAAGAAGAAAAAAAAGAAGAAAAAAAAAGTAGTTATGGTGCTTTTCGTATGATCAAAGCTGTTGTACCTTGAAACAGGTTGCCTGGAGAAGCTGTGGATGCCCCATCCCTGGCAGTGTTCAAGGCCAGGTTGGATATAGGACCCTGAGGATGGGCAGCCTGAGCTGGTGAGGGGCAGCTCTGCCACAACAGTGGGTTGGGACTGGATAAGCTTTAAGGTCCTTCTCAATCCAAGCCATTCTGTGATTCTATAAACCTTTTTTGCTATGGTGGTGTGTACACAACAACAGTGTGTGGACAGGTCCTATGAGGACGTGGTGTGGCAGGTCTTGGGACCTGCTGGAACGAGCAGCCGTGACGGCCTTGTTTTTCCAAGATAATCTTTTATCAGGAAAGCAGTTCAGAAGATGTAGGTGAAAGGTGATGTTGACCAAGTGCTGCCACTTTCCTGGCTGTGTCCTTTGACTTTTTAGGCTTTTCTTAGCCTCGCTCATCATATTGCAGCTACTGGGTTGCTCCTCACCAACGTGAGCTGCTCCAGGATCATAAGAAAGATTATGGGGCCTGGAGAAGTGTGAGCTGGTGACTGTGTGAAAGTTTACATTTGTTGTATTGTAGACACATCTGATCTGATGTCCTGACGCCCAAATGGGCACATTGGCTGGGTCAGAAGAGGGAAAGACATGTCATCTTAAGAAGTGACTAAATAAACTGAATATTCTGTATACAGAGTTATTTTTATGCTTGACTGCCTGTAAGCCCCAAATAATCAAGTTCAGTTGTTACAGTACCACTTAATCATGAATCTTGATGAAGTGCTTGCTCCTTCCTTCTTTTCTTTTTCTTTAAATTTGAGACCTTCTCTCAGTAAATATGTCCCATAGTCTAATTATGCACCATGTGGAAAAAATATCTTCCTTTATCAGTTATACATTTGTTATCTTATGTAAACAGGGAAAGCTGACTAGAAAGGCCTCTAACGTTTGCTCCTGTATAGTCCCTGATAGGGGGGTGTGCAAATGGGAAAGGGGATTGGCAAAAAGGGTTTCTTGAATGAGTGACATTTGGAAGAAGATATTTCCGAGTATTTTGGGTTGGATCCATAGACCTGTGAGTTGCTTCACTTAAGATCATGTCCTCTTGCAATAGTCTCTCTCCATTCTTAGTGAAGGATTCTTGGATGAAGGACGGCCATCTTCATGAAAACAGATCTTCTGTTCCCCTGCCATGTCCATAGAGCTGATTATGACTGTGAGGTCCTGACTCAGCTGGATTCAGTAGAGAAACCCCAATGGGAGTCCCCATGGCAAGGTTGTACGACAAGAATTAAACCCTGTGCTTAAGAAAAGCAGATCACACGCAGGTGTTGTGGTAAACAGTGCCTTTCTCACTGTAACAGGACAAAGAGCAGACAGGAAGCCATGAGAGAAATGTGTTCTTAGGAACCCTGGCAGGACATTGTCATCTGGTTAAGAGAAAGAGACCTTTAGGACTCCGAGATTCATGGAGCATGCCTTATAGGCAATGAAGTAGTTAGCTGCATTCACATGAAGCTGATGGCATGTGGCTGGAAATTCCTCCAATGCCTCTAGGTGCTGATGTAAAGTAATCCTACCTGGTTTTTATTTATTTTTCTCATAATTCTAGTTTGAACACCAAGAGGTGGAATTCCTCTCAATAGTAGCATGCAAGCTCTTCTGAAAACCTGGGCATTAGGCACTGAAGAACCTGGACTGCGTGACATGACAATTTTAATTATTAGCAGCAGATAAGAGGTGCAGTGCATCACCAGTCTTAAAACATAAAAATAAATTTCCTCTTTGAGTTGCAGGAAATGTAGTTGGTTTTGTGCATACATGAAGGTGTCCATCCCTCCAGCTGCGCCAGAGCCTTACTGCTGTCCTGCCAGCATATACAGCATGGGCATCAGTGCTTGGTGGGAATCTTTGCATCTCTTCCTCCAAGCAGAAGAGGGGACTCTCCTTTGGATACTGGGAGAAGCATGAGCACTGGGCTATAGCTCTGTAGCAGAACTGCACTGATGCAATAAATAAAACATTTCCATGCTGCATTTAGTTAAACCAACACTGCATCTATGTTTGGATGAAGCTTAATCCTATGCTGTTATGAAATCTTTCTTAATAATAATAATTTCATTCACTTCGAGAGGAGCCTGAGCTAGTGCCCATGAACTTAACTGTGCTGTGCATTAATGCTGCCTGTATTAGCAGGTAGGCATTTATTTGGATTTGCCAGCAGTTGCTGAAATGAGTCAAAGTACTCCATGGGCTTTGGTTTGATTGAAAACACTTTCTGTTATTATTTACGGAATATTGAACATGTGCCCTTAGTAAACAGGAGGTTAAAAAAAGTAACAGGAAGATAGAGCCTAATTTGCCAAAACATCACTGGACTGCTGTTCCCAGAGATGTTTTGAAACCTTCACCTTAGTTGCTCTACAGGACAGTGTGCCAGCCCACAGCATGGGGGGGCTTCTCCCAAGCTCTGTGGGGTGTAGGTGCG